CCGGAAAGCCAGAGGCGACTCTTTTTCACCCCGCCTGCGATCGTAGAACTGCTGACGGCATTCGGCTGAAGGTCCATAGACCCCGGCCAGCAGCTGTAGCGCCATTGGTAGTGTAGCCCGCTTCTCTTTTGGCGCCGACGTGAGTGCGGCGAGCGCGTCCCCATCGAGGAGCGCCGGCAGCGCGCAAAGGGCCTCCTCGTCGGACCACCGCGCCATCTCCTGATGGGCGAGGAAGCGTCGCCGGAAGCCGCCCCAGTCACCCTCCGCACCGATGAATTCCTTCAGCGGGGGCAGTCTTTGGTGAAGCGCAGCGGTCGATGTGGACTCCCGCAGGTTGCTTTCACCTCCCTTTGGCGGTGCCTCGGCGCGACTGGCCGATGGCATCGCCTGTCGCGGCAGCGATGACGCATCCTTCGGCTGCGATGACGCTGCAGCCCCGGCGACGGCGATGTCGGAGCCGATGTCTAAGCTGGCCACGCCCCGAACAGCCGCGGCGTCCATGGCGGGAAATTCAAATTTTGAAGTCGCTGAAATGGCGGGAAAGTGCTCCGGCCGCCGGTTCTCCTCGCCCTGCGGTGGACCACCAACCCCCAACCGCGTAATGCCTTCCAGTGTGGCGGCAGCGGCATAAAGTAGCTCCGCCAGCCGTTCGTGAGCCAGTCGTAGTGCATCTGGCTGCGGCCCCTCTCCATGCTGACGTCCCGGTGAGAAGGCGCCAGGCTCCGGCTGCACCCCATCTTGTTGCTCTGTCTCGGGCTCGGCGATCTCCGCGGCGTCCTCCTCTTGTGGTACCCTGGTCCGAGCTGTATGGCGCGTTTCCATTTTTACCACTTCTGACGCCAGATGAAGTACCCGTCGAGGACGCTTGACAACGGAGTTGAGGCACACGTATATTTATTTAACAAGTTGCCAGTACAGGACAGCCCTAGAGGGGGTAGCGGCCCCCTCACCCGTATAACTCAGGGAATACCCCTAGCTATCCATAGCCTATCCCCTGAGTCCTCCACTAAGAGCTAGGGGAGGCTGTCTGGCCCGACACTGGTAATCGGGCTCGGTACCCGGAGTCCCAGAGCACTGGCTCTGGTTCACGGGACCACGCCACTGGCTCGAGCCTGATCCCGTGGGGCCCTGATAAGGGCGGCGATCAGGGGGAGTCCAGGGCTCTAGCTACGACGTCTTCCGACTTCTTAGCTTAACTATAACATAACTGACTAAGCCCATATAACGACCCCTTTTTATACCCAACCCTCCTTGAGGGGTGGGGCCCCGGGGGATCGTAACGCCGAACCAGCCCCCCCCCAGGGTGTCTGGCTCGGACGTCGCAGAGGGCATCTCCCTGTGCACACACGTAGCCCCGCCCACTGTGTTTCTTTCCCATAGGCTGCCATGCATAACGGCCCTCTCTCCAACATCCCTACACAGGGTAAGTGCTGTTAGCGAGCATCTTTTACGATCTGCACGGCACACAAGGAGATGGTGTAACCTCACCAAATCCACGTCTCTCTCGTGCAACCATGGATGCACTCGCAGTAGGCTGTCATTTCATGCCGAGCAGACCTAGGGTAGGGGTCAACAACCTGCGGTTCCGGAGACGCAACGGCGGCTCTTTAAGGACTGCTTCGTGACATTATTTATGAAGGACCACCATCTTGTATTCACCATGTGCATTGCGGCTCTTGCAATATTGAGGTTTCTTTTCTACTGAATTCCAAAAAAATGGGCTCTTCTTGTTATTTTTGTTTTGCCGACCCCTGACCTAGGAAATGTCCAGGCCAAGCTCGCGTAACAATTCCCAAGTATAAAACCAGGCATGGAGGGCTTTTCCCACATTGCAAAAGTAATACCCCATTTAGCCGTGACAGCAGTGACACAAGCGAGTATAATGTGCCTGTTAATTCCACCACACCTCGCCATCGCTTCCATCCCCGAGTTAAATGCCTGCCCTTGTCACGTAGCAACAACTGCCAAAGGCAGCTAAATGAGTCTCCCGTTGTGACAATGGCAGCACACAAACACCGGACGTGCAGTAGCCGCTGCTCAGTGTTCGACTACCCACGAGCCACCACACCTTAAGCTACGTACATTTAATTGACTGAAAACATCTCAAGAGATAGAGGACTTCTGAGCTTGGGCAATTGTTGGCACCGGCTCGACATCTGCCTACCTTCTGGCTTGCCTGCGGTTCCTCGGCATTGTGAGATCACGCGATTTGCACGAACGACGACGCGACGTGAAACTGAACGTTACTGTTACATTATTACATGTGATGTAGACTGTCGGAGCAAGTGCTGTTAGCGAGCACCTATTAAGGCCAACATGGCATACGACGGTGTGGTGTGGTGTGTTGCGAACAGCACGCCTCGCTGATTTTGTCTCTCCCGTGCTGATGTTTGCACAGCACAGCGGGTACTGTGTTTTTAAGGCTGAGTTGACCTATGTGAGATCCAGCGGAAGTTCTGGGTTTATTCGTTGCTCACATTAGCTGGAAATGAAACTCTGGTCGCCGGGTTCGTGCGCGATGCGGTGACCGCTGCGACACCGCCCCATGCGCACAAACAAGGTTCAGACCTCCTGCTAGTGTTGCCTATTGCTCAGAGAGCCAATGAGTTCCCGACGTGTGGATTAGTTGGTGTGTTACACTATGGGGCAGAGTTTCTCAGGCTCATTGCGAAGAGTTGGGACGGAAGCAAAGTTAAAATTCGACGGTTAACGCGGTTTACGTAGCACACAAAAGCTATGTAATTCAAAAGTGAAAATCTTCTTTGTCCAGCATTATGCTTGTGTCAATGGTGAAAATCCAATCGTGGCAAAAACGAAAATAATCCAAACAGCGTGTATATATATGGCTTTGAATACATTTCTCAGAATTGTCAAAATGTATTTTCGCATCCAGGTGGCGGCTCACAAAATTACCCAAATCCATCGGTGACCGGGTTAAAGTTCCAGCAGCTTAGAGCACACAATTTGGTGTAATATCAATTTCAGACTGGATTCTCAGGGTCTGCCTTGCACCTGTTGTTGTTTCGAAGCTATTGGATCAGGTGACTCGGGCAGCTGCTCGCTTATTTGTGTAGATAATAAAATAACCACATCTGCTGCTGCTCGAACTTGGATACTATATCAGGCCGTTAATGTGTCGAGAGATATCAATGTTAGCAACAATTAGGTCATATTTTACGTGGCGGTTACTCTCTGTATGATAATTATCATGGTGGCTATTGATGGCAGTTTGCGAAGGATAGTGGAGATATTTGGGAAAAGATACTGCAGATCACACAAATCTCCTGACTCCCGGCAAACCCAACTTCCTAAAGTCAATGACGATCTCCATAAATTGGAGAAATAAAATGTTCGCGCTTGGAAAAATACAAAGCATGATGGGCGGGAAACATATGCCACGTAATCCGTAGAGTGTAGTGTGTACACACATAGCTTGCCCTGGTAAAAGTAAATAATAATGATACTTTCATTGTATAGGCGGCATTCGTGCTCGTAGCATCCCGTAACGCTGTACATGAATTATATATGAGGACCAAATCCCATTTACAGCCACTATCAAGCAAATGAAAAACCCCTACTACTACTACCAAGTAAAATCAAATAAAGATGAATCAACAAATACAAAAAATTACACCAAAACAAAAAGCCAAGGTGCAGCCCTGCAACTTGCTTGCTCACGCCACTGCTGACAAACGGGCCTCCACTCGAGGAAGCGTTCCCAACCAATCGGCGTGTTCCTAACCCTGTGGGCCGCAAGGCCGTGGCACGTGATCCGTGAAACTGGCAGATATTTTTTTTTACAAACACTGGATTTTTTTGTTTGTTTGTTTACTGCCACGGTGCACTGTGAACATTTGTTGAGGGTTGACACTCGTCCGCGGGTCCAGAAAGGTTGGGGACCAATGCTGTAGAGCTGGGGTGGCCAACCTGTAACAGCCCAAGACTCACAAATTACCCATGAGCTCTGCAAAGAGTCAAGTGTAAAAAAATAATTCATTATTCTTTGCTACTGTGATAGTCCTTTTACATTATGCCCCTTCCATAGAGCTGCACGTGGTGGATTATAAAGCCGCTTGACAGTTGGCCACCGCAACTGCAGAGAGTATTTGGCCTACGTTTCCACTCTGGCCAGATGTCTTGGAAGAGGTGGAGAGGGGCCACACTTTACCCCCCCCCCCCTACACGCACACGCGACCTACTGCTCGGCTAACCGTGGCTCTACCAAATTACCCGTTGACTGCCGCCATCGAAAGAGGCGGTGGGGGAGATTTAATAAGCGTGCACCATTGTTTTCGACTGCCACGTCGGGAGATTGAACTGGCAACCGCCGGATTGCAAGTCCGGTGCGCGAACCGTTATACCACGGCAGCATCTCATCGTGTGCTGTTACGGGGGATTTTTTTTTATCACCCAGCGTGACAAATTAATTTTTCTTTGTCACGAGAATAGTGATGCATGCCTGTAATCCCATGGTGGGAAGGGGCGAGTTTGTTGGATTGCACAGAGATCAGCATCTCTGTGACACATCAGCTTGCAGGGGAACAGTGAGGGTGGATCAATAGAAGGCAGTACATAAAGTAGGTGACTCACTTACTGGCACGTACGTGGGGTTTACGTGGGGCCTTTGATTTCCATCGTACAGCCAGACATATTCAAGATGGGAATTGGCCAAATGTCCATAGCAGCAGTCTTGAAAATGAGTCTTGAGACTCGGTGAGTTGTGGGTAAAACAATTGTACGGCGAATAAATGAATTGATGCTGAATCAAGAAAAAAATAATTATTACTCCGATTCTCTTAATTTTTTTGAACAAAACATTATACCATAGGAAGTGTCTACGCAATGTATCCACGATTTCTCTACGCAAAAGAAACATTCTCAATGCACTCTGGTCGCTGTTTTTGACCGTGTCAACAATTTCTTAAATCAATGGATTACCGATTTTTCTCCAACCCGTCCCTTTCTCATCCTCTCTCCATCTGCACACGCACAACACGCAGGTGACCAAAATGCTTGCGGTCGTGGTCCTGCTCTTCGCCATGCTGTGGCTGCCCTACCGCATGCTGGTGGTGGTCAACTCCTTCGTGTCGTCGCCGTACCACGACGCGTGGTTCCTGCTCTTCTGCCGCCTCTGCCTGTACGCCAACAGCGCCATCAACCCCGTCGTCTACAACGCCATGTCACAGAAATTCCGCGCCGCCTTCCGCAAGCTGTGCGGCTGCTGCCCTTGCGGCGGCGGAGGCGTCGGAGGAGGAGGAGGAGGCCGGGGCAAACAGTCGGGACGACGGTGGCGTGGCGACGGCGGCGGCGGCGGCGGCATCGCGGGCGGTGGTTGGAGGGGGCGGCCGTGGTTCTGGTACGGCTTTCACGACGGCCGCGGTGACAGCGGGCGCACGACGTCCTACAGCCAGCACCGCGGCTGCGGCTACGACGCGCGAGACAGCTCCACGACGCGCTGCAGCCCCAGCCCCGACCGCTACAGCCTCAGCACGCAGGAGTCGGCCGCCGTGGCCGCCGTGGCAGCGGCCGCCTTCCACTGGGGGAGCGGCGGCGGCGGTGCCGGAGGAGGAGGCGACGCGCGACGGCCGACGGCGGGAGACGCGGGGGGCGGAGGGCAGGCCCGGTCCGACCACTGCCACCCGCCGCAGAGGAGCGTGAGCTTCTCCAGGGTGTGATTGCCCCACAGCTACCACCACCAACCTCCCCTCCCCGCACCCCCGTTTCCCCACCACTACCCCGTCTTCGAGTGATTTTGCTCTTGCGGAAGACGCTGAGATGTGCCGGCTCCAAGTGGAAACGGAAGCTGAGCCAGTTTGAAACCTCTGCCGGTCGATGATGAGAGCGGCTGCTGTTTTAGTCCATGTGACGGCAAGTGACGGATGCGCACGGCGCGTTCCTTGAACTCGAGTGACACGATGCGAATGTGGGAAAGGCCTGGAAGTGATTGCCAGAAGCAGCTATGTGGAACATTGACTCAGTACAAGGTCCCAGGATGCGTTTGTTCCCCAAAGTATTCCACAGATAGTGGCGTTTTCAGCAATTGCTTTCATTACAGTTGAGCGGGCAAAATGTTTGTAATGACATTTTCGCTTCTTATGAATAATATTTTTTTAAGTTTCATTCGTTTAAATCAAGTGAAAAAGGTAAATTGGTGATGAAATTACAATTGAATCGACACACTGCATAATGGCATTGCTTGTAATGTGCCAAGCAAATTAAAGGAAATAGCGGATCATGTAAGTACGTGCAATTTTAAATGCGCAATTCTTATAAGCTATGTTATCACGAGTCCATATGTGATACCTGTCTTTTAACTTGTGACCAACAGAGTATCGGTTTTCTTCCTAAACACGAAACTTCAAAAATATATATATTTTTAAAACAGCACCTAGGGACTTTTTGAAAATAAAAAAAATTACTTGTCACTGCTACCATCCAGTAAAATAAATTATTTTAGGTCACCTGCTGTTGGTGTTGATGAATGTATAGAGTGTATCTTCCTGTTCGATAGATGGATCAGTATTCTTGATTTTCACTTATACAGTTGCTCCATGCTTTTTAAGTCTTCAACCGTAATTGATGAAGTCTAAACATCGTAATTGTTTCTGGCACCCTCGTGTATATGTTAACTATTCGTGCTGTAGAAGAAATTTTATTCCGAGTATACAATATTTGTACAGATGTAATTTTCTTGCATTAATTAATGAATCACACAGACGTTTTACATGACACTGACCTCCATTGCTGTCAATCAAATCTCTGAATTAATTTCAAGGTCATAAAGCCAGTGAAGACTGTTTCTCTCAACCCTCAATGTTAGGTTATGTGGTAACCTTACATGCGTTGTGTGCATGTGTCCTCGTCTAAAAATATATATAAGAGACAAACCATACATTTTCCACAAACAAACAGATTCTATTTTATTACTTCCCTTCTACGTGACTTTACCGAAAGAACCAAGAAGATGAAACAGATGCTCCACAGATTTGACGAATCCCGACAACAATTTAAAATTTTGCACGTGGAAACGTGAAATTAAAAATCTGGCACGAGAAATTTTTGTTCCAAAATTATATTAAAATTGTGATGTGAGTGGGTGGCAGGGTGACACAGTGGTAACGTACTCTTTGGTTCTTTCGCTAAAGTGTTTGCAGCATTCCCAGCGTCGTCGGCTTATCTGCCATGCGTGCTCTACCGCCCTCCCACCTCCCTGCGCCCCGCACTACGCACCCCCCCCCTTCTCCGTATCTCCTCCGTGGCTCCCCCCCCCCTCTCTTATTTATTTAGCGTCTTGTTTCACCGCAGCTCTCTTACCCATTCCAGCAGATGCTTATGGCTGTGGTGGTCCCACCTGATGACGAGCGCCTGTGTTGCGCCCGAAACGTCGTGATTTTATTTATTTATATTTTTTTACTTTTATTCTTTTTTACCTAACGTGACTTTACCGAAAGAACCAACGAGTATGAATCCTTACAGTCACGAAAACAGTGGTAACGCTTGTGCCTCGCAGCAAGAAGGGCCTGGGTGTGATTCTAGACTCGGGGGGCCTTTTTCGTGTGAAGTTTGAAAGTCGTTCCCTTCTTCTGCACGGGTTTCCTCCGAGTTGGCTCTCAGCAAAACATCAACACACAATGTAACTGTTATTGGACAAACATCCGAATGCTGACAAATTTGCTGCAAATTACTCAATTGGGATTACAGAGAGCAGCATCGCGCTCCCCCTGGCAGGGCCCTCCTGAAAACGAGTCTTGAGATTCAGCGAGGCGTTCTTGGGTAAACGAGCGTAACAATAAAAGTAACAATCTTCTTGGTTCTTTCAGTAAAGTCACGTAGAATGGAAATAATAAAATAATAAAAATAAAACAAATTATTATATTACTTTATTATATTGTTTTATTATGTTTAATTTTTATTATTATTTTATTATTTCCATTCTACGTGACTTTACCAAAAGAACCAAGAAGATGAATCCCTGCAGTCACAAAAGCTTTAAATCGAAAAGTAACAATGTCGTGTAATTGAGAAGAATACATTTCCATTCTGGAACTCGGCAGGTAGCAGTGCATCACCCCGTGTCTGAGAACGGCTCCACGTGCATTTACAGAATGGGTGCAGAGGGAAAACAAAAGCAAGTGGGTTGTGTTGACGTACATGATTACATTTGACCCGAAGCTCTCTAATTATTAAGGTCACGTATTGCAATAAATGCACCGCGGTTCGAACACATGAGGCGGTTGACCAAATATCTGAGCTTCCCTTTTGGAAAGATACACGACCCCATACGCACCCCTCAATCATCACGCAACGATGAAATTCCTCTTTTAAACACCAGTGGGGTCAACGGTGCTTAAGCCATTAACAAGGAGACCCGAGGCAATTGAGTTGAATGTGGCACATTCCCGTGTTATTGAAAATCCTTTCATCTTAACCCCCTTGCCCGTTTTTCTGCTCCGCTGCTCAACAGAAACGATTGCCGTTTCATCCTCGTGTTAACTTTCAACGCTTCTCATTTATCTCGCAGAGGATCAAGCGTGATTACGATGATTACCCGTGTGCCCTTAATGTATTGGTGGCGTTGGCCTCTTGCTAACATGCGTTGTGAATCAATGTACTGCCAATGTCCCACTCAATCTTAATTTTTGGAGCTTTCGTGACTGCAGGAATTATTCTTTGTTTTTTTCGGTAAAGTCACTTTACCGAAAAAACCAAAGAATAATGTCCCCCTCGTCACTCGAAGCACCGTCAATTAACATAAAAACAATGAAGTTGAATCGTGTAATCAGCCACCGTTTTTCTAGTTACGCCGACAACAGGGACACATAGATGCACAGACTCTTTAAAGTAATACAGACAAATACATTGACATCGGCAGTATTAGGACATTGATACAAACAACGATTTCATTCTAATCGAATATCAAATGCAGGAATCTTCAGCATTAATGAGCATATGCTGTCAATGTATGTGATTCGTGCACCAGATGTGGAGTTTGACATTTAGCTTCGGAGGGAGGCAGTTGTGTGGAAGTCAGCGAGCGTGCAGGTTCCGAGAAGGCTGTCGTATCGCAGGATCATGAGGGCTGGCCTTGATCCAGCAGTGGATTGATCACGGCTACTGCTGCTGCTGGTGATGATGATAATGATGATGATGCTTCGATTTGAGGTTGTTCTTGTTTTACTGTCCATTGTTCTCAAAGCATGTTGCCTAGCCCACCTGACCATAACACATTCCTGCGGAGGGAGCTGGTAGGAACGTTGGGCTGCTCGGTCAATGGCCAGGGTCAACGGCGGTGTGGTGTATTCCGCAAATATGCCCGACTGTGAGGGCGGGTACAAGCCGGCGTGAGTAGGTTAAACATTGAGTTTTATAAGGGCACCACGGGGTGACCAGACCCTCCCCACCCAGCCCCACCCCTCCCACCCCCCACCCAGCCCCACCCTCCCCACCCAGCCCCTCCCCACCCTCCCCACCCTCCTCACCCAGACCCTTCCCACCCAGCCCCTCCCCACCCTCCCCTCCCCACCCAGCCCCTCCCTCCCCACCCAGCCTCTCCCCACCCTCCCCATCCAGCCCCACCCCTCCCATTTTTGAATGCACGACGGACGGACGGACACAATAATCCCCTGTGGGCTGGTGGAACCAGGAGGTTCCTACCAGTCATATACGGCATTCTCGGCATTTCAAATTGAGGAGCGATTATGGAAAATGATGTGGAACAAATCGCACACAACAGCCTCTGCACTGGCGACAAGATACCGCTCTGTGCTGATAAGGCTATCTAGTCAAACTAATTACCGCACTGCGTATGAAAAGCCTACAGCCAAAATGTATTGTAGCAACCAGATGATCAGCAGCTCTTACCCTAAATTAGTAGGGGACACCTAATATGAAGACATAAGATCCCCCGTATAGCGTTAATAGACTTTTGGGGCAAGTGTTGTTAGCGAGCACCGATGAAGACCACCACGGTACACGAGGGGGTGGGAGGAAAGTACCACGCCCGACCGCCTTTGTTTTCCCCTAGCGTTGATATTTATACACCGCACCAGATATTAATTTGAGGCCGAGTCAACCTAGAGTCGGCCCGGGACCGGCCCAGATGATAAAACTCGAGATACCGGGTTCGCAGCGCAGTGCGCTAACCACTACACATTAATACACAAAGACAAAGATCCCCCGTATAGCCTTAACATACTGTTGGGGCAAGAGCACACACACTCACTGCTCCAAAGCCATTAGCCAGCGCACCAACGCGCGCGGGGACATTGGCTAGAGAGGACATAAACAATTAACCCGTAAAAACAAAGTTTTTCACTATAAATCCTTAATATGCGTGTTCAATGGATCACAACCCAGCCCACATTGGTCTTTGAAACGGGCGGCTAGAGTCCTCTCGTCCTCTGGCTTGAGATGGCTGCCACCTATGGGTCAGATGATTGCCTGCCACCATTAAGCAATTGGTAATTAAATATAAAAAAAAATTCCTAAAAAGTGTAAAATTTTGGAATTTTTTTCAAAATACATTGTCACGCACAACGAGTCTGTGTGCAAAATGTCAGCTCGATTGGATCACGGGAAGTGGGTTAAAAAACGACCGAAAGATGTGCACGGTCGTAAGCGCACAATCAAGCAAGCAAGTGAACTTAATATAAAGGATTTAAAAACCCTCACATGGCACAACCTCCCACGCCATCCATTACGAGAGTCCTTGACCATCACTCTGCCCGGTTTGGTATTAAAGTGAAAGCAACATTTGCTACCCTGTAGACGCGCATTTCATGGATGTTGGGTAGTGCGCTGGCGGCTAGCCGCTTAGTTTGCACGGCCGATGCAAAACCATTTGTGCGTAAGAGGAGCAACAGGGTTCGAGACAGGCCCATGGTGACCTATACGGCATGCAGCAGCGGCGGTGGCAATTGGGACTATTTAACCGATGTTGCTTAAAAGGTAATTAAAGCTCCATGGACCGGAGCTTGGGACAGCTTCAACCTGTTCATTCTCGGAGGCAGCCAGCCCTCTTTGTGTGCTCCACAAAGACCAAAGTAGGCACACATGCATGGCGAGTGTGCACGAAGTGTACTGGAATGCACGCGTATTAATTCATTGTCGTCCAACATTTGAGTCGCGGAGAGCCCAATTTGGGATGCATCAGCTGTGTTGGGAAGTGAGGCAGACGCTTGCCGTGTCAACGTTGATGGATTTATTTGCGACTTAGCTGAGGGTAATATTTCATATGGGACTTAAATCTAAGATTGTCTAAACGAGTGTCTACAAGCCAGCTTCGTAGCAACATTTCAATAGACCGAGCACTGTTTCTGGAAGGGAATAGATAAGACATTATTTATTCTTTAAAGTCTACCGGAAAATGCACACTGCATTAAACACGTTTTACGTATTCTCTATTTATTGGTATATATGTACAAACATTTACCCCACCCCCCTCCCTCGATTACATTATTGGAGTTGTGAGACATAGTATGTATAAAAATACAACTTGCGTTCAGTTGCTTACATTGTTTTTACTGACATTTGCAATATGTCTCATGCATATTAAATACTTGTCTTAAATATGCTTCGAAGATCGTACGTACGCGTGTACGTGTGCGCTGTGCGTGTGTGTGTTTGCGTGCGTGCGCATACGATTGGTAAGTTTAACCGGCATGAGTTTTGTAACGTCATTGTGAACGAGCTGTGTTTATGTTTTCTCTAGCCATGTGGCTTCAGGGTATAATGCATGTAAACAGCACTTAGCTAACGCCAGTGTGAGATCGTGTATTCAACTCCTTGTGTATCTCCAGACGACACAACGCCAGGTGTTTGTGGTTGTTGAGTACAGGGTAGTCCAGATGTATTGTGACCCCAAATTAATTGACCCCTAACATATTGTTTTACCCTTTGCATATAAATTTCTGTTTTAAATAAACCTCGTGAGTCTTCTTGGTTCTTTCGGTAAAGCCACGTAGATGGGAAGTAATAAAATAATAAAAATAAAACATAATAAAATTATTCTCACGACGTTTCGGCCACAACGCAAGCAGCCTCACGACGTTTCGGCCACAACGCAAGCAGCCTCACGACGTTTCGGCCACAACGCAAGTAGCCGTCCCCAGGTGAAAACCAGGTCTGTCGAGGCGACAGCGTCTTAGAGACGCTGTCGTTACTTGCGTTGTGGCCGAAACGTCGTGAGAATAATTTTATTATGTTTTATTTTTATTATTTTATTACTTCCCTTCTACGTGACTTTACCGAAAGAACCAAGAAGATGAATCCCTGCAGTCACAAAAGCTTTAAATCGAAATTTTATTACGTTTTATTTTTATTAGTTTATTATGTTTTATTTTTATTAGTTTATTATGTTTTATTTTTATTATTTTATTATGTTTTATTTTTATTATTTTATTACTTCCCTTCTACGTGACTTTACCGAAAGAACCAAGAAGATGAATCCCTGCAGTCACGAACGCTTTAAATCGAAATTAAACCTCTTTAGGTTTTAGTGAAATTAATTGGGGGGGGGGGGGGGGGTGTCACAAGACATCTGGACCGCTCTGTACAATGGGCATCGTGAGTCATCACTGACTCACACAACAACGAATTGATGTTGGCCTATGTATATCGTTATATATATATAAATACTGTGATTAGGTCAAACCCAACTCTTATTTGCTAGATAATTACGAAGTAAACTGCTCCTTCATATCCACTTTTGAAGAGAACATTCAAGTGATATGGATCACACAAGTCCCTTTGATGGCAAACCTGGAGTCCATTATAATTA